TAATATTTTTTCTAGGAAACTCTTATTCAGTGAAACCATGTTCAGTAATACAAGTTGCAATTTTGTGAGCCGTGTCACAATCATTAGCTCCCTTCAGATTATTACATTCCTTAATAGCCTTATCAATATCTACTGCACGATCTTTATATGTTGGTACTGATTTTAACAAGGCTGCATATTCCTGAGCAATAAATTGTCCATTTTTGAAAGCTCCATGTTTTTCCATAACACATTTGATGAAGCACTTAACTTCATTTGTTGCGAGTTGCTCCTTCATGCCACTATTGACGAAGGCTGTCATTTGATCTTTTGTAACACTGGATTCGGTATAACATTCTTTATAGATCTTGTCCAGATTATCATCACTCTATTTATTTTTTATGTAGATATTTAGTTTAGGATATAAGCTGAAGTATTAAATTAATTGATACTTACTATAACTGAAGCTATCAAAACCACAATGGCGGTATAGAATAATTTGACTTTCATACTCGCGACCATTTTCGTCTGTTTGTTTGAAGATACTTTGATTTTGACTGGTTCTAAGTCCACCTTTTATAGTAAATTTAATGTCAATTTGTCCAGTTTTGGAAATTATTTTCAATTAAAAAAATTGTCTATTTGTTATATTTAATTGTTTATTATTAATAATTTTAAAAAATTTGTTTGGTTAACTGTTTTAAAAAATCGGTTTAGAGTTTATGAAAATAGAGACTTGCAATGACTTTTGTGAAAATTAGTGTTGATAATACTTTTTATTAAGTTAAATTAATAAATTTGAAACTTTTTATTTTTATTTAACAAATTTAAATTCAATTAAATAACTAATTTTTGTTATTTTATACTTTTTTTATATCCGCCACATAAATTGTACAAAAAATGTGGCTGAAATGATGTAATATTTAATTCACAATTAGTTAATTATACTAATTTTATTTTAATTATATTAATTAGAAAACAAATTTTTACATACCAGAGGCGTTCTGGCAGTTCCTCGTCTATTTAAACGAGTGCTTTTTTAAATTACAGCGAAATGATATAGCTGGGAAGTCAATAAGATATACTAACTATTATAAATAGTAATTTAATTCTTACAAAAATGTTAATTTAATTTAATTATTCGTATATAACTTTTGGTCTACAAGAGTCAGGAAATTGAACTCTTAGTACAATTCTAAATATCACCTTTCACCATTCGATAATGTTCGTTGCACATAATGGGTTTAGTGTTGTCAACTATATGGGTACCAACAACATTTAGAGACAAGAAACGTAGGATACTTTTAATATTACCTAGAATTTGTGTTTCAAAAGTACTATTTTAAAGCATAAAATCTTCAAAATTAACATAAAACATAATATATCTTTTTTATAGACAGGATTTGTCTAGTTTTGTGTATAAACCTCCATTTATCTGCTAACTAAAGCTTTGTCACTGTCATGGCTCCATAATTACTTACATGGTTATCGACACATGCCCCCGGTGTATTGCCTAATGACAATACACGGACACAGTGAAGGCTAGTCACGGAAAAAAGCACCAAAACAAAAAGGTATATACTTAGTTCTGCAAAACTATAATCTATCTGATGGCATAATCTACCGCTATTCGTAATTAGAACTATATATAATTACATGTTATAAAATATTAATAAATAAATAAGAACATAGAACATACAGACCAATTGTTATACGTTCACGTTTCTTTGTGTGAAAGGCTACAATGTCAAACAATTTTGTTTGCTTGGAAACAAGTCCAACATTTTTACATTCAACAGAGACTGAAAAAATTCTCACATATGGTATAGACTTATTGTATCCATTACTTCTAGAGATGAAGTTGAAGAAAATTCTCATACATGGCATAGACTTATTATATCTATTACGTCTAGAGATGAAGTTGAAGAAAACTCTCATACATGGCATAGACTTATTGTATCTATTACTTCTAGAGATTAAGTTGAAGAAAATTCTCATACATGGCATAGACTTATTGTATCTATTACTTCTAGAGATGAAGTTGTCTTTTTATTTAGATTAGTATTATTAAAAGTATAAATAATTTATTCTATTCACAATAAGTTTCAATTCTTAGGCAGCCCATACAACTATTTTAGATACTGCCATAAATATCCAGCATCAGTGGTCTTAGGAAGCAACTATATAGGTTCAAGTGTCCGTATACATATTTTTGACTGCA